CAGGAAGATTTGTCTTCCTGAGTTCAAATGTGGCCTTAGACACTAGCTGTGTGACCCTGGGCAAGTCACTTAACCCTGTTTGCCTCAGCTTCCTCATCTGTAAAATGAGCTGAAGAAGGAAATGGCGAACCACCTCAGTATCTTTGCCAAGAAAACCTCAAATGGGCTCGTGAAAAGTCAGACGTGACTAAAACAACTGGACAATAACATTCTAGTTGTGTAAGATGTATTAACCAAACCTTGCAAAAAGCAGTTTGATGAATGGAACAATTATACATCCTTGGTGAGAACAAAAAAATTAATTTTACTACCTGTATAACTTCTGGAGAGAATATAAGCTTGGTTAAACATTTTGTGATGAGTGAAGTTTTTGGTGTTTAACTCAGGTATAAATTATATATTATTTAAAAGTAATTGTAGCTCATTACAGATCAACTGGAAGGGACCTAGAAGACCATCTAATCTAACATCCCCATTTTACAAATGACAAAAGTAAGCCTTGGGGTAGTTAAATGACTTTTACTCAAGGTCACATAGCTTTGACAACAAGCTTCTAGTCTTAAAAAAAAACCCAAAAAGCCAAATAAAAATTGTAGAAGTTACAGAAACATCTTTATAGCAGATTTGTGGGATATTACCTGATTGATTTTGTGTAGATAGTGCTTGACGCTAGGTTTTTAGGTGATTATTAGATTTGTGCAATGTTAGCCTAATTTGTTAGGTGGCTTAGTGGACTGACGACTGGACCTAGAGTCAGGAAGATCTGAATTCAAATTTGGCCTCCAAGGTGAGTCACTTAACTTCTCTTTGCCTTATTCCATTGGAGAAGGAAATCACAAACCATTCCAGTGTATTTGCAAAATAACCACCATGGACAGTGTTGGTGTGATGTGGCATAAAGACATGGGCATGACTAGATGACTAAACAACAACAAGAAAGCCTAAGTTGTTGCTATATTTATTGGAAGATAATTCTGTAGTTTTTCTTCAACAATAGAATAATTATAATTTAGACTTTTCTGTAATTGATTGGATGACCTTTAATAGATCTAATATTTGGTGAGAATTTAGTATAGTGTAATATTTTAGGGTTCTTTTTTTTGCTTGAATTGTTTAGATTTTTTAGGAAGCTGTTGAAATCTTCATTAAGTTTTTTAGTAATTTCCCTTTTTTGTTATGAACTTAACAGAGACCAACATTTCCATATATAGAGAACAAAAGATTGTATTTGAAACTGAACTTACATAAATTTTTTTTTAAACAGTTTATATTACATTTAATGTTGTTCAGTTATTTCAGTTGTGTCTGACTCTTTGTGATCCCATTAGGGCTTTTCTTGGCAAAGGTACTGGAATGACTTGCCATTTCTTTTTCCTGTTCATTTTATAGATGAGGAACTGAGGCAAACAGGACTAAGTGACTTGCCCAGGGTCACATAGCTAGTGTTTGAGGCCTAATTTGAACTCAAGTTGTCCTGCCCAGTATTCTATCCATTGTGCCAATAGTTGCCGGTTAAATTTAATATGGCAGTTATAAAACTTTCTTACATGTCTGTGCCCTCTTTTGAACTTCCTTCTACTCTTTTTATTTATATACTACTTCTTATTTTTTTAATATCACTACTTACCAAACCCCTGATCCCCTCTCATCAGTTAATAAGTTCCCTGGCACCCCTAACATATGAACTATTACTATAGTTTGTTCATTGTGATTTAACTTTCGTTTTTTGGAGTCTGACACTTTACTTTTGGCCTGTTTCATCCTGTAGAGAGTACATCACCTTCTGTCAAGCCTGTTTCAGAGAAGTCTGTGATACTGAAAATGTTTCAATGTGTCTCTAGTCAGAGCACTGAGACCTAAAAAGAATGGAACTCCTGAGGATAGTCAATTCAATAATTCATTTCAAATATTTTTAATCTAATATTAAGAGGGTCTTAATTTCAATTTTTTGTAACACATAATATCACCTTTATCTGTGGATAACTAATAACCTTATTTTTAAAAAAGCATTTTAAGATTAAATTAAAATTTTTAGCTGAAAGCAAAGACATTTATTAAAATGGCATCTCAGAAACAATAATAAAACATTCTCCCTGTGATCATGGGATGCTCTTTCTCACAAATATACACAGCATCAAAGAGATGAATGGATACACACAAAAGTACACTGGTGCTAGTTACACAAATAGAGAATGCACATTGCCAGGGCAACTCAGATTTCAGTCTCTTCAGAGTCCTTGATGCCTTTTCTTTTTTTGTGTGGTTATCTCATGCTGCTCCCTTGGTTGGAGGAGTTAGAAGCCTTTCCAGTAAGATCAGGTGTGAAACAAGGATGTCTACTGTCACCAATGTTATTCAATATTGTATTAGAAATCCTAGCAATAGTAGTAAGAGAAGAAAAAGAAGTAGAAGGAATCAGAATAGGGAATGAGATGATTAAAACTATCTCTTTTTGCAGATGATATGATGATATATTTGGAAAATTCCAAAGACTCAACTAAAAAAATTAGTTGAAACAATTAAATTTTAGCAAAGTAGCAGGATATAAAGTAAATCCATATAAATCATCAGTATTCCTATATATCACAAAGAAAACCCTGCAAGAAGAGATGGTAAGAGATACCCATTTAAAATAATTCTAGACAATATAAAATACCTGGCCAATATAAATTCTAGACAATGTAAAACACCTGCCAAAACAAACTCAGGAACTAACTGTATGAACAAAATTATTAAAAAGCTTTTTATACAAATAAAATAAGATTTAAATAATTGGAGAAATAATTGTTCATGGTAGTCAGGGCCAATATAATAAAAACGATAATTTTACCTAAACTAATTTATATATTCAATGCTATCCCTATTATATTACCAAAAATTATCTTACTGAATTAGAAAAAATAGTAACAAAATTCATTTGGAAGAACAAAAAGTAATAAATATCAAAGGAATTAGTGAAAAAAAAAATGTAAAGGAAGGCGTTTTAGCTGTACCAGATCTTAAATTATATTGTAAAGTTGTAATTTTCAAAAACTTTCTGGAACAGATAGACATATAATTTACAGCTGCAAGTAGAGTAGCCTTGTATTTGACAAGTGTAAGGACTTAATTTAAGTTTTGGAGATAAGGATTCATTATTTGGTAATAATTGTTGAAAAAAACTGGAAATCAGTGTGGCAGAAATGGGGTATATACCAATATCTTAGACTGTTTACCAAGATAAGGTCAAAATGCATACACGACCTAGATATAAAGAGAGATGTTAAAAGAAAATTTGAAGAGCATAGAATTTATTACCTGTCAGACTTATGGATAGGTGAACAGTGTATGAACAAAAAGTTTTTACACGAATAAAACAAATGTGGCCAAGATCAGAAATAGAAAATTGGGGGAAATTTTTTATAAACAGTTTTTCAGATAAAGGTCTCCTATTTCAAATATATAAAGAACTTTGTAAAACTTATAAGAATACAAGTCATTCCCCAGTTGATAAATGGCCAAAGGATATGAACAAGCAATTTTCCGATAAAGAAATCAAAATTATTTATAGTCATATAAAAAATGCTCTAAATCATTATTGATCAGAGAAATACAAATTAAAACTTTTACTTTTACTTAAATCTCTTCTTCTAGTCACTCCCTTCTCCTCCATTATCCACACAGAAATATTGAAGAACCTAACGTCTGTTTCCAAAAATCCCATGTTTAACATGTATTTTTAAGTAGCCATTGACCATGTTGCTAACTTGTTTGTTATATTTCTGTGATGATAAAGAAGTTAATAAAGTTGATTACGTAGGAGTTACCCAGGTGATGATAGAAACTAAAAGCTTCCCAGAAATTCATTTTAGAAGTAATTTTAAAAGATTTTTTAAAAAAAATATTTTTAAGGTTTAAAAATTTTTTTTTTAACTTTTAAATGACATTTTTTAAAAAAAATAGATCTAATAACAAATGTGAAGCTACTTTATGACCATTACATAATTGTAATGTTATTTACATGTACTAAGATCAGGAAACTAGAAGAATAAACAAATTAAGCATACTTTCTGTGTTGAATGAGTTTGGTCAGGCCTTTTCAGTTTACTGAATGAGCTCTTATATGACTTTATCGTATTTTGTTTTATGAAGTAAAAGCTTTAAGGTCAAGGTTGTTGGACCAAAAATTTGACTTCTTAGAGACATTGATAATAGTTAAAGGATTCTTTTGTCATTATTGTTAACTTAAAGTTTGTACCTATTTTAGCCATGTTAATAATCAGCTATGGCATAGCTTTTTTTTTTTTTTAACATATGTAGGTATATGCACAGACATGTGCAGTAACGCTTTTCCCTGCTCTGCTTGTCTGCAGGCAGTGAAGTGAAATCTGCAAGAGTCCTGTTCTCTCAAGGCCTGCATACAGGAAAGAAGCAGGGATAAAGCGTTACATGAGCATGCACATTCCAGTTCTACGGCAATTTTAAGCATTTCAGGTAGGTCAGATTTTTGGTCTGTCAACCTTGACAACATCCCTTGAAGTTGAAATAATATGTAATGTAATAGAATGTGACTGTGTTAAAATGCTTAATTTTATAACACATTGGAATGTATTCAATATGCAATCACATTTTCTACGTCTCATTTTTCTTAGACATTTGTTGCTGAAATAAACTTTTTTTTTCACTATCAGAGATTATTATGTGGCTTAAATGGTATCAGAAGTAGATTAACTCAGGCTGTATTGGAATTTTTAAAAAAATTCATGAAATAACTAAAGCAAAATTTTTATATATGATCCATATGACTTGACTAAATCAAAGTAAAGAATAGAAAATAGGCCATGTTCAGGTCTGCTTATATGATAACGTTTTGTTTATGTTGAAGTTACCAGAATTTTTTTTATTACTTCTCACTGGAAAATGATGTTTGTGACTTTCAGATATAAAAAGAGAGTCTGAAAAATTTTATCAGCCTTTCATTCTCACCAAGGTATTGTTTACATAGTTCTTTTATTTTGCAGGTATATTGGAAAGTCTGATTCTGTAACAATCAGTGTGTGGAATCACAAGAAGATCCATAAAAAACAAGGTGCTGGATTTCTTGGTTGTGTTCGACTTCTTTCCAATGCTATCAACCGCCTTAAAGACACTGGTTGTAAGTAGAGAAGAGGACATTCTGCTTTTGTTTATTTGGGGAAAAACATTAAAGATATAATAATATCCCTTAATAATAGCTGTAGCTGTAAGCATTCCTACAAATGAACTTTATTTTATATTTTACCCAGGCTGGAGTGTGTTACACTTATTCGAAAGCCTGATCCACTATTAATTGGCATGGGAGCTTTGACATGCTTTGTTTCTAACCTCAGCTGGTTTTATTCATCTTTAGGCAATCTGGTAATCTTCCACTCTTAGGGTCTTACTATGTTATTGTCAAATTTGGTGGGGACACCACATCAGTATAGTCCTCTGTAGCTCAGAACTCCCAAAGTCAAGAGATGATGGCCTCCTCAGTAGAATGTGCCACCACACAAACTTATATGAACTTTAAAGGTCACCAAATTATTTTGTTTCAGTGAAATTTGGTTAAAATTAATTTATTTTTAGGATTTACATTCTAGAGATAAAACAAATATAAAGGCCATTTGCTAATTAATTGGATACTTTGACTTGATAACAATTCACATGTCATGCATATCATCCCTCTCCATTTCTTCTGCTTTGTTTCTCTCTTGCTTTAGTGATTGGTTTGGAAATTAAGGTAAATTTTATTTAGCTGGTTATAATGTGGAAAAGATTGATGTGAAGTATAATTATTATTTGAATAAAGTGAAGTTTTTGTATAAGATGATATTTTTACCTGATAGAGAAAAAGAAATGTAAAGTGCTCAAGTAAATCTCAGTATTATACTGAACATCATTATGTAGTTTAAATAGCATAACATCAATTTATAACTCAGAATGACTTTTAAATGAACAGGGACCAAGAAAGTGCTTATTTTACATGAGTATTTATACACACACACACATACACACACACACACGATCATAATAAATATTAACAAAATATTTGTTCATCTGAGAAGGCATGAAAATAGCTTTAATTCACAAAATTATTCTTTTAAACAATGCTTATCATAATGGGGTTTTTGTTTATTTTCAGCTTAGTACTAGTATTTACATGTCGCAAGTGCTTTATGGCTTTAGTTTCTTCATCTGTAAAATGAAGGTTGGACTTAAGTCATCTCTGAAGTCTCTTCTAACTAGGTGTTATGCCTATATTTTATGAGAATTTTTAATTTAATGAATTGATAAAAAGAGTATTTTGTTTTATGGAAACAACCTTAAAAGTGTAGGGAAATTTTAAAGTTTGAATACACTATAGCAAATAATGATACCATTTGGCAAAGTATGGAAGTCTCATATGGTATAAATACACAGTTAAAATGAATAGGAATTAAGGTTTTGTGAGATAGAAATGCAGAGGTTTTAGTGTCTGAGGGAAATTAGTTTTGTCTGGGTGAGATTTGAAAGGGTGTCCTACAGTGAAGGGAGGAGCCTAGGACTTCATATAGGAAAAATGAACTATTGAGTAGAGATATTTGTTATTACTTGTGTATTACAATGGATAGCATGCCCTAGGGTCTTTACTCTCTTATTCTTTTCATTACTCTGTCAATTTTTATTCTTAAACACTTATTTCCGGTTTTGTAATTAATTTTTGCGTTTTTTATTTTAAATAAATTTTTATTGATACCTTTTTTTTGCATCAGCATAATTTCCCCTAGAATCTGTCTCTTCCACTTCCATCCCATATAACAAATATTATTTTTGAAGACATGAAAGAGGAAAAAAAATCAGTATAACTGATCAGTATGTTGAAAAAGTTTGACAGTACTTTACACAATGTGCAATACTTGTGGACCTCCCATCTCTACAAAGGTGTGGGGTGGGGGTGTCTTTTCATATCTCTTCTTTTGACTTATGCTTGTTCTTTATGATTTTGCAACATTTTTTTTTTTTTTTTGGTGGCTCATTGTTGTAGTCATTGAGTATATATTTTTTTACTCAGCTTGTTTCACTCTGTTATTCTTACCTCTTTTTATTATCTCTTAATAGTATGTATCTTTCATTTTTCAAAATGAATTGTTATTATTTTACTGAGCTCTGTAAAATATACTTTTGATAATTTGACTGGTATAGCAAGAAAAGTATAAATTAGTTTTGGTAGTATTGTCATTTTGATTATATTGATACAGTCCAACCAAGAGTACTAAATATTTCCTTAGCAATTTAATTGTTCTCTATTTCTTTAAGCAGCACTTTGTAATTGAATCTATACAAATATTTTGTGGGCTTTAGTAGTTTGATTACCAGATATTTTGTGATTTTGTAATTATTTAGAATGAGATATTCCTTTCTGTTATTGGCTCTTGGATTTTGAATGCTATTGGATTGGAGGATTTATTTCTTAGCATGCAACTTTGGTGAAGCTATTTGTTGTCTCAATTATTATTTTTGCTGATTTGCTGGATCTTCTAAGTAAACCATCATATCATCTGCATATAAGGAGAGTTTTACTTCCTTTTTGCCTATCTTTATATTTTTAATTTCTTTCTCCTGTCTTACTATTGATAGCATTTCTATAACTATATCAAATAATAATGGGGAGAGCAGACATCCTTGCATTGTTCCTGTATTTATTTGGAAAGGGTTTGGTATATCCCCTTGCATATACTGCTTGCTTTTAGTTTTAGGCAAATTACTTTTTTATAATATCAAAATAGTTTTTCTGTGCCTAGACTTTGTAGGTTTTTTAGCATAAGTGAGTCAGAGGTTTTTTATTTATTGAGATAATCATGTGGTTGGGATTTTTTAAAAAATATGGTAATTATATTGATTATTTTCCTCATGTTGAAGTAGGAAACTGAGGCTTAAGAGATGTTAAGTAACTTGCCCAGTGTCCCCCAGCTAGTTAGTGCCTGAGGCAGGATTTGAACTACACTCTTCCTAACTTTAAATTTAGCACTGGGTCACCTAGTAATTACTGTTAAGAGGAAATTAGAACTTGCTTTATAGTCAACTCAGTGGTATACATCTATTCTATAAAGCAGTGAGTACATGTATTTATGGCTTGATAGTGGGGTTTTTTCCCCAGTATCTCTTGTACTATAAATAGTTATGAGTGCCAGTACTGAAAACTGGGGAGAGAAACAGCATTCTTATTTATTATGCAAATGTATAAGCCAATACAGAAATGCAGGGTAGTATAAAGCATTAATTATGTATAGCCCTTGAGATGTGAGGAAAATATATAAATATTACACATTTATAACCCAGGGCCTAACACCTTAAGTATAGTCCTTACAAGGACTAGGTTCAGTCTTTGGGGAAGCTTCCCGAATAAAAACACTGTGGCTTATTTTGCTGTCACGTCACCCTGAGTTACCCTTCGCTTGATTAAACCCCAAATCTACTTCTGCACCGGTGTAATTAAAAGGGTCCCCAGTCCCTATGCAAGCATTTTAAGTTATCCCGACATTTTGAGTACAGTGCAGCTTTTATTTTATCACTTAGAAAATATGGGGGAAAACATAAAGGATTCAGAATCACCTGTGACATTTGATAAAATTCTTCTCCCTCTCCAGTTGAATTTCACTTCTTCCCCATCTGTAGGAACCTGTATTTCTTGCCTTTCGTTTTTTGACTTCTCAGCAGCATTTTATACTATCTGCTACCCATCCTCTTAGACAACTTCTCCTCCTTGAGTTTTTATGGCACTTTTCTTTGCTGGTTCTCCTCCTACTTCTCTGGTTGCTCATTCAGACTCCCCTCAGCTGCATCTTCAATCATCCTTGTCCTACCTACTATATGTGGATATATCTGAAGTCTCTGTTCTGGGCCTTGTTCTCTCTCTAGGTGATTTTATCAACTACCTTAGGTTCAACTATTACTCTAGGCATATGACTCCCAGATCTATATTTGCAGTTCGTGTATCTTTCCTGAGCCCCAGTCCTGTCTCTCTTGATGTCCTGTAGGCACCTCATATCCAAAGTAGAACATATTTTTTTCAAACTTTTTTGTTTTTCTTCAATCCAGTCACCTATGCTCACAACTTTAGTCATTTTCACCCCTCATGCCCAATAAATTGTCAAACTTCACTGATTGTATTGCTACAACATCCTTTCAGTCTGTCCCCTTATCTTCACTCATATAGCCATCACCCTAAGTCAGATCCTTAATACCTCTCACCTATATTATTGTGTAGTCTCCCTTCATTGGTCTCCCTTCCTTAGATCTGTTCCTCTTCTAGTCCATCCTTCACACAACTAGCAAAGTAATATTCCTAAATAACCATATATTTCCCTGCTCAGTAAACTCCAGTGGCTAACTCTTGACTTTTACATTCTTCACGATCTCCTGGACTTTCTGTATTTCACTATCCTTCATGAACTCACTGTTCAGCCAATACCACATTCTTTTTCTCCTTCTCCATCTCTGAAATAAACTTCTAATCCTCACCTATTTTCCTTCAACACTCAGCTCATGTGCCACGTACTATAGCAACCCATTTCTAATTCTCTCCAGATTCTAGTGCCTCTCTCCAGGAATTTCATTGTACATGTTTTATATTTATTTTTCTGTATACATTTTAAAAATTTCTCCTCTCAGTAGGATACATTGAGGGCAGAGACTAATTTTGTCTTTGCATACTCGACATCAAACACGCACAATTTATTATTACTTAATAAATGCTTGATTTTTAAAAAATGAATTTTATTTTATTTTCACATTTGCATTCTCTTTTCCCCTCCACTCCCCTCTCCAAATGAGAAAGCACGAAAAGCCCTGTTAAAAACTTATATAGTCCAGCAAAACAAATTCCCACACTGGCCGTGTTTTAAAAAAAATTTTTTTTCTGTATCCTGAGTCCAACAACTTTCTATCAAGAGGTATCTGTTTCATCATGAGTCCTCTGGAGTCTTAATCAGAGTGCCTAAGACTTCCAGTTTTGTCTTTACAGTGTTGTCATTATTGTTTAAATTATTCTTTTGTTCTTTTTACTTCACTCTACATCATTCCATACAAGGCAGCTAGACGGTGCAGTGGTGGATAGAGTGCTGGCCCTGGAGTCAGAAGGACCTGAGTTCAAATTTGAATTCAGTCTCTATCTGTGTGACTCTGTGCAAGTTGCTTAACTCTTTTTGCCTCAGTATTCTCATCTGTAAAATGAACTGGAGAAGGAAATGGCAAACCACTCCAGTATCTTTGCCAACAAAACCCCAAATGGGATCACTAAGAGTTGGACATTACTAATTGACAAAAACAGTTCATAGGTTTCTCTGAAATGACCTTTTCCATCATTTCTTACAGCATGATAGTATTCCATTACATTCATATACTATACCTTGTTCAGCCATTCTCCAACTGAGTATTCCCTCAGTTTCCAATTCTTTGCTACCACAGAAGGAGTTACTGTAAATATTTTTGTATATATGGATCCTTTTCTCTTTGATTTTTTTGAAGTATACCCTAGTAATAGTATCATAGAATCAGAGTATGCACAGTTTAATAGCTCTTTGGGCATAATTCCAAATTGCTTTCCAGAATGACTGAACCAGTTCACAGTTCACCAATATTGCATTAATGTACCTGTTTGTCCCCAGCCCCTCCAGCATTTGTCATTTTCCTTTTTTGTCAATTTTGCTAATCTGATGGGTGTGAGGTGGTACCTAAGAGGTATTTTAATCTGCTTTTCTCTAATTATTAGTGATTTAGAGCATTTTGTCATATGGCTATTGATAGCTTGGATTTCTTACTCTCAAAACTGTCTATTTATATCTCTTAATCATTTTTCAATTGGGGAATGATTCTTTTAATTATAAATTTGAATCAGTTCTGTGTGTGTGTGTAACAGTAAGCTTCTTGAGGATAAGAACTGTCTTCTGCCTCTTTGTATCCCCAGCACTTAACACAGTGCCTGGTACATAGTAGGTGCTTAATAAATGTTTATTGATTGATTGATTGACCTCTTAGAAATGAGGCTTTTAATAAATGCTTGTTGAAGTGAACAGTCCCAGAATCATGGCTCCATCAGGGGTTTTGACTCCCCTGGAAAGGCAAACAAATTTGTTATTGTTGGAGGGGCAACTTCTTGAAATTCTTGTGATTCACCTTAGGATGTAATATAAGCCTTCGGCTCTTTGATACCATTCTAAGGATTTGTACTTCTCCTGGAAAGGAAATAACCCCTTGCTCGAGAAGCTATCTCATAGCTCATGCTGTAGGAACTTCTTTTTTCTAAAAGGCTAGAGTTCAGAAATTCCCACCACTTGCCCATGTAGTTCTCTACTCTTGGTTGAAAGTATACGGTCTTGCATTACATCTTTGCTACTGTGTTTCTAGGACTATATCCAGGCATTCAATGTCTAGGAACTTTCAGTATACCACCAATGCCCTGGTTGTTGTCATCTTTAGAGGCTACCATTTCTGGGGATGGGGATGATGTGGTCAGTTGGTTCCTGAGGTGGGGTGTCAATGGGCAGACTTCCTTTGAGTTACCAAAATTTACTCATGTGTTTCTGGTATTTGACTTGTGCCTAGCAGTCTGAATCTATCCAAAAAGGAAAAAGAAGTCATCCCCTTTTTATAAACCCAGCACAAAAGGATGACTACATCCTAAAACACTCCCAATAGCCAGCCAGTGCATTCTTAGTCCACAAAGCTGAAACCAATCAAAATCACCCCAGTCACTGAGATTAATCTCTCATCTTGAGTTCGATATAATTGGATCTATAAGTCCCAATTGTCATATGTCATATGCTCCATAGGGAGATTCAGTCTGAGTCCTAAAGTTGCCTTGTAACCTCAGCTGGAAATTCCCAGCTCATTCTCCTGATTATTTTGTATCTTTCTTCCACAAACATCTGTCCTGATAAAAACAGAACTCTACTGAAATCAGAATTGGTGATTGTCTTTGTATGAATAGCTGAGCTATTTGCTTATGCCACTACGTTTTTCCAGCCTTCTAGTCAGATGTGTAGTCCAGTGGGAGTGGGTTTGTTAGTTCAGAGAGAATGGGGGAGATTGGTGTTTTGGCTGTCATCTTTTCTTAATCCTTATCTTTCTTGACCTGTATATTACATTTGACACTGTTGAGTACCTTCTCTTTTTAGATTCTCTTTCCTCTCTGGAACTTTGTGAAATACTTTCTCTTCATCCCCCCCCCCCCCCCCCGACCATTCTTTTTGTCTTCTTTGTTGACTTGGTACCCATGTCAAGTTCCCTATCTAACTGTGGGTATTCCCTAAGGTTCTATCCTAACCTGTCTTCTCTTCTCACTACTCTCTTGGCGACCTCAACATCTTTCAGGGGTGAATAATTATCTGCTCTTTGTAGATGTAGATCCATATATCCAGCTCTGTTCTCTCTCCTGAGCTTTAGTCTTACATCACCAAGTCTATTGGACATTTCAAACTGAATATCCTACAGACACCTCAAGCCCAACGTGTTCAAAACAAAACTGATTATTTTCTTCCTCTGTATCTGCCCTCCCCCACTTAACCCACTCCTCATTTAAGCTCAACTATTTCTGCTAAAGGTACTACCAATCTTTCTTTCTGTCTCCTAGGTTTGTAGTCTCAGTATTATTAACTTCTCTCTCTCACTCATCTCACATATACAGTCATTTGCCAAGTCTTGCTGACTTTTTACCTTCACATCATCTCTCAAGGGTGACTCTTTCTCACTACTCACATAACTACCTTTTTAGTTCAGACCCTAATCATACCTTCCCTATAATATTATAACATCTTCCTAATTCGTCTACTGCCTCAAGTCTTTCCCTACTCCTAGCCATTGTCAAAAAGTGATGTAAGTAAGTACATATCTGATTCATTCCTCTACTCAGTAATCATGAGTATTTTCATTTTTCTGTTAGAATAAAATATAAGTTCCTCTTTTGATCTTTTAAAGCCCTTCTAGACCTGCCCCCAACCTCTCTTTCTAGCCTCACCATACATTTCACATTCTGAGATCCAGCCAAACTAGCCTTCTCTTTGTTTTTCATGTGTTCTGCTGCATCCCATCTCATTGCTTTTGCATTGGCTGTCACTCATGCCTGGAATGTATTTCCTTTTTATTTTGCCTCATTGAACTCTTCTTGTCCTTTAAGATTCATCTTAAGCAGCACCTTCTATATGAAGCCTTTCTGAATTTCCCCAATGGCTTGTCCCTCTCAAGCTACTTAAAAAAAATTGTGTTTATCTGTATTTATTATCTTTATATTCTATATATACTTATATATTTGTATTCCCCATTAAAATGTGAGCTGCTATTGAATAAAGATTTTTTCTTATATCCCTAGAATCTAGAACAGTGTAGGTACTTAATACTTGTTTTGGGTTGAACTTTGTTATGTTCCAGTGTAATTTCACAAGATGTATCTAGTTCCAGTATACCTGCCATCCCTTATCTTTTATGGAATTTTATGTTTTTTTTATGTAGTCCTGCACAGGGATTTTATATATTGTTCTTTCTATTTCATGCTAGGTGGTAACAAGCTTTTGCTCTTATGTGTTGTTATTGATTAGCCTTTTGAAGTGTACGTGGTTGCAGATGGTTTTGTGTAAATATTTTTTGCTGAGCTTTATGTATACCTCTTCATTAATAATCTTGAATGTATAGATGTAGCCAAAATTAAGATATGCAACTCTGCATTTTCTAATCTATTCTCTGTTGTTATTTTGTAAGAATTGGTGACAGTGGTAAAGATGCTGCACTGCATTATCCCAATCCATTAAGCTGGGTCTATATATCATGTCATTTTATAATAGTATAAAATATTTTGCCTTTCTTAATGTGAGAGAGAGAAAGAGAGAGAGAGAGAGAGAGAGAGAGAGAGAGAGAGAGAGAGAGAGTGTGTGTGTGTAGCTTAGTAGACTTGTTTATTATTGACGCTCCATAACAGCATGATAAATTTCTACCTTGAACAGTTGGTTACTTTCCAAGCATTTTAGCAGCTCACTCCATTTGTCATTATATTGATCTTTAACAGTTAAAATTGCTTATTTAATTGTTTTATTTATTTATTTAAAATAGATCAGCGGTTGGATCTATGCAAACTTGGGCCAAATGACAATGAAACAGTTAGAGGACAGATAGTAGGTAAGTGTGAAATTTTATGTTTGTGTGGTTTTATTAAAAACAGATTGGCTGAAATCATTAGAATCAAATGGCTAGTAGTACAAAGTTATCTCAGCTTTGAATTTGTCTTCTTAAGGGTATTGGCATTCTATCTTTTAAGGATTTTGGCATTCTAAACAAAAAAATAACTAAATGTCATTTAGTTATAAATAATGTTTGAAACATATAAATAACAGTAATAAATACCTAGTTAAGTGAAGAACTATTGAATCTGCAAAAATATTAAATACATGCTGTAAGAAATTTGTATAAACAGCTTAACTATCTTTCATACATTTGTCAATTTTTAGGAAGTAGGAAAATGCTGAAGTAATCATGGGATGGTAAAGACTTCAAATAAGCATGCTGTTATACATCATATTGATATTATTTTTCTGAGGATATTAATTCTCAAACTAGTCTTAGCTCTGGAGCAGAAAACCACTCAACTGTTTTACTCAACATTATATAATATTTTCTTTTTGTTTGGTTTTCAGACAATCCATGCCAGCTGGAAATATTAAAAGGCAGAACTTAATGATTAAGGTCATAGTGGTATGGATCAAAGAAGTGGCTTTTTCTACAACCACTCATCTACATTTTTATTCCTCTTCCTAGTTAAAGAAAATAGAGTGGAAGTTGTTATGCATAAGCCACTTGATATTGAATTACAGTGGACTTAAAAAGTAGGTTTTCTTAAAGGGAATAGAGAAAAGGAATGTTTTTCTATTTTATGTCTATATGAACATCTTTGTGAATTGGCTCTTTGAGATTTGATATGTACTTTTTTTTTTTTAAATAACTAGCTCCAGCAAGTCCAAAACCTTGAAACTTTGAGCTTACTTTAAAAAAAAACAAGAGCTCCATGTTTTATTGATACATCTTGGTTTTTACACCATGATCATCTCCTATATCCATTCTTCCATATAGAATCCTCATTTATTCCAGATAGACATACAGGCTGAAATAACAATATGATAGTATGTGAAACATTCTACACTCGTATTTTCTACCTCCCTACTGAGGTAAGGGTTAGTATGTTTCATCATCTGTACTCCTGGACCAGGGTTGCATTTAATCTGTGTTCCTTTTTAATGTTTGTTTTTGTTGTTGTTGTTGTTGTTGTTAATAGTTGTGTATATTGTTCTCCTGATTGCTTTTTTCCTTATTCTTACTTTAAAGGAAAGTTTATTGGAACATCATTGCAATATACATTGGCACTATTTATTGTAGAGTTGTGTTGGTGGAAGAATTTTCATGAACTAAAGAGTTTTAGTTAATGAACCTTGTTATTAAGACAATCTTAATTTATTATGTGGATTCATAGCTTGGTCTAAGAAAAAAACATTGTAGCCACATTTTGGAATAGGTATTATCCAAGGATGATCTACATACCATAACCAGTCTAGTAAGATGAACTAGAGGTCCGAACGCAAAGAAGAAACTTTACTTCATACACCGCTGAGACTTGGTGGAATGAGGCTCATGCCTGGAATATGGTTCTGGAAGGACATAGAATATTCAAATGAGCCAGGATAGGCAAAGGCCAAAGCAGGGTGGGGCTGGGGTAAGAGAAATACCCCATAGGGGCAAAATATGGTCAAAAATACTTAAATGGAGATTGTTAGAAATAGAAAAAGAAGTGACGTTTTCATTGGGATATACTGCATATAACAAGTCTGGCACACAGATAACAAATCTGGTATGGAGGCATGAGATGCAACTCCATTTTAGAATTTGTGAGAAAGAAGGAGAGGAAGGGTAAATATAGTCTGACATGTTGTCTGTATTGAAAGAGAGGAGATTTTAAAGTTTTCAGAGAAAGACTAGATAGAATCCCCTGGATTAAAATTCAGTTAGTGAAGTTAATACAGGAAGCCCTCAGGAATGACATTCTAAAGATAAAAAGAGAATTCTGATAGATTACAAAAGTTGAATTCTCTTAAGAAACTTTTTTGATGAACTCATAAACCAGTTTAACTTAGTTTTAAAAGATATATCCAGAAAATAGAAAGCAGGCAGGTAACTGAGGATTAATACAGAAGTATAGTCATGAATAAGGTCAGGGTTGTTAATGTTTAGATGAGGGTAAAAAGAAAAGCCAATAACATCAAAAAGATTTTTTATTTTTAAAATTATAGTGAGAAAAAGGATAAAGAAAGGGTTTGGAAGACCACTACTAAGGGTGAATGGAGGATGATCTTAGATTACGGAAAGAAGACAGAGCTGCTCAGCTTTTATTTTACTTCTATTTTATTTGTCAAAGAGAGTGAAGTAGAAAGGAAAGAACAAAAATAACTAATAGGAAGTTGATATCCACGATAAGCAGGGAGATAGTAAGAGAACACCTAGAAGGTGTCTTTGATTAATTAATTACCAGCCCTGGTAAACTATATCCTTGATTACTTAAAGAATTGGTAGATATGATTGCTGATCCACCATTGTTGGTGATCTTTAAAATATCATGGTAATAAGAGAGTTACTGCAGGATTGGAGAAGGGCAGATACCTGGATTTTCCAAAGATGTGAGAATTGAGTATATTGAGTATATTGATTTTAGGCTCCTGAGCTTGAATTCCATTTTTGACAAAATTCTATATTATTAAAAGGAGTATAGTTACTGAATAGCTCCTCCACAGAGTCTTTCTTGAATGCCTCATAGTGATGTGGAGGTGCCCCTGGGTTCTTAAACACTCTTCTGGTGGAGCATAAGCTCTGGCAGGTTTTTCCATGTTGGAAAGTTTTGAGTATGGTCCTGGAAACAAGTTGGAGTTTATTTTTTGGGACCAACTTAGCTAAATAATAGAGAGGTATATCACCAGTGATGGAATCAAGAAAAATACAAAATTGCCTTCAGTCTTGTGACCCCTTTCTGCTTCTACAGAATTGCAGGAAAGGGGGCATAAGGTGCTAAGTATCATAGTTTTCAGGCCATCTATAAACTTTAATTTAACCAATGGTACTCTGAATGTGTTGATCCAGTGATCAACAAGTGTATATATTTAGAGGACCTAAATCAGATCAGTCTTGACATTTATAAATCTATAAATGAAACCAGAAGGTACTTATACTTTTTTCTGGCTGCTTGAAGTTTTTTTTTTCCCCTTTGACTTGGAAGCTCTGGAATTTGACTAAGACATTCTTGGGAACTTTTTTGTGATGTGTCTTTGAAGAAGTGACCAGTGGAGTCTTTCTAATTTGACTTTCCTCTTTAGTTCTCCTAGATCTGGGCAGTTTTAATTTGTGATTTCTTGAAATATGTTATCTAGTCTTTTTGCTTGGTCATGGTTTTCAGGGAGTCTGATGATTCTTAAATTATTTCTCCTTAAACTATTTTCTAGGTCAGTTGTTCCAGGTAGCTATATTCTTTTTTTTTTTAATAATTTTTAATTGATATTTTCTGTATTTTATATCACTAACAGTATTCCAAATCCCTCCCTCTCCTCACTATATTATTTCTCTAAAGAATTTGGTATCTTTTTGTGTTTACTCATATCTCTATCCTCAGTCCCTGATTTGGGACTTTTTGCCAGCATGAGGCACTATCACCTTCCTTGCTCAAATAGAATTGACCTTATTTGGGCCTTACCTCAATTTTCTGCATTCTTGATGCTGGCTTCTACTTCCCTTGGTGTCTGTATAATCTCAGAAGTTTCAAATTCCTCTGGGTTATCTGTGTTTAAAACATTGTTGTCCATTAACCCTAATCCTAATTCTGAGGCCATCTGGGGCCTTCGGAGTTGTCTCTGGTCAGTGTTGCAAACTTTCAATGTACTTGGGGTCTTTTTTATCTGAGTGTAGAGTCTTATCCCCCTACAACTTTCTAATAGGAGCACTTTCATCTTTTTAATCCTTGGATATAGAACTCTGTAGACTTCACATGGCCTTGACCTACACCTGCAGACTTTGGGCTTGTTTACTTTTGCTGGCTCTGGATTTTGTGGCAAAATCCATTTCCCAGGACTGAGAAACTTCTTGTTGTCTCTTTTATACAATCCTTGAGTGTATGGAGGCACTTATTGTAGGTTTTGGTTTTTTTCTTATTTTTGATCATTATTCTGGTACTCTTTTTGAGATTTTTATTAGATCACATGTATGAGAGCGAGACTCTTCCGTGTCTCTTAATGTGTCCATTTTAATCAGAAGTCTTTTGATAGTTTACTTTTGATGAGAAATTTCAGTTAGAACAAATAGACATCTAACTTAGTAAATACCATTTCACGAATGTAATATTTTGTAATTTAAAAAAACCTTATGAATTTAGAATATATGATAGGATCATTATGAGAAAAGGTATCTGAGTTTGTAATGCTTAGGATTACTTATTATTCCTGCAGATCCATATGAATCTTGAATTACATTGTACCTACTCTCCTTGGTTTGGTTCTTACATAACTATATACTGACATAAATTCTTTAAGAGTTTTATAGTGTAGTGTTCTGGAATCTTCTGAGTCTTTTTAGCTTTGGACCTAAATGTTTAAGCCTAGTGCTAATTAGAAATTATACTACCTTCTTTGTTCCTTTTTTTTTTTTTCTAAGTAGTCATTTTAGTTTGGCTTTCTGTGTAAAAAATTAAAAGTACGATGTTAATAAAAGTCAATATATATATTTATTAAGTGCCTGCCAGACTCACTAGCTTTTTGACTCTGGGCAAGTCACTTAACCCCAGTTGCCTCACCCCCCCAAAAAATTGTGACAGAATAAAGTAAATTAACAATTCAATTTAGATTGTTCCAGATATGGAGACTAATTTTACTTTTTTATATGTTACCTTTTATATGTTAGATCTTTTCACCAGGTTATGTTTTATGTTATTACAATATCCCATTGATATCAGGCAACTTCTGTTTGAGTTCACTTTTAATTTACTTGTAGTTTCTCACCACATAGTGACGTCATCATAAACTGCAAACAGGTCTGAAGTTTTCACTACCGTCATGTCTAAAAAAGGGAAGATTTCAGAAGTGGGATTTTAATTTATGGAACTTTGTTAGAAGATACAAAGGTTTAAAAAATGTATACAACAGAAGTTTAAAAGCTGTCAAAGTATGGGGCAGCTAGGTGGCACAGTGGATAGAGCAGCGGCTCTGAAGTCAGGAGGACCTGAGTTCAAATGTGGCCTCAGACCAAACACTTGACACATACTAACTGCGTGACCCTGGGCAAGTCACTTAACCCTAATTGCCTTAAAAAAAAAAAGTTGTCAAAGTATTAAAAGCTGTATAGTATGCTATTCCTTTTCAAATGCATTTGTGCTGTAGTTTTGTCAACCTGTTAATAATGGTCTTCTGCTATTTTAATAGTAAGCCTCCAATCCAGAGATCGAATAGGCACAGGAGGACAAGTTGTGGACTGCAGTCGTTTGTTTGATAATGATTTGCCAGATGGGTAAGCTCACATTTTTGAAAGCACCAAGAGGAGTATAGTATAACATGTATGTAAGTTAAATTTGTCTTTAAAATAATGAAATTTAAATTACGGATGATTTTTAATGAGTTATTTTAAACAGTTTCAACTCATAGGTTTCCTTTTTCTGTGGTAATCCCAATGTCTGTAACTTTACTATAATATAAAATAGACAGGATATTGGACATACAATATACAATTAAATACAAAAGGTTTGCATTTAATGGGTTTTGGCCCTATGAAATCTCATTTAAGGATACAACAAGCAAAATATGTTGTTTAAAGGAAAAACAAATTCTTAAAATAGGTTTATGTAAGGTAAGACAAAAAAAATGTTCGCTTTGAAAGTAGTGAAAACTGGAGATTATTATATGATGTAGAGACTTGTACATTACTTTCATGTTTTGCTAATGTTTTGCTAAATTGATGTTTTGATCAGCTAATTAATCCGGTAGTTGATCATCTTCACATGATCTTTAACAATTCTAATTTTACATGTAGGGTACAGTAATTGTTTTATGAATTCTTTTGATATATATACTATTACTAGCATTCTGCATATTATTTACTTTTTCTTCATAATACCTGCTAAACTTTCTTCAGATTTTGGTCATGGTACCTTTATAAGAAGGCAGTTAAAGGTTAAAATACTCAGTCTTCCCTGAGAGAGAATAGCATACACTCGTTCTACCACATGCTTGTAACTCTAGCCACATAGGGATCGACATGCCTTAATAGACAAGAGACCTCAGAGATCATCGAGCCAGCTCCTTCCATTCCCTTTACAGATCGAAAGTGAAGTCCCACCAATGGATCTCAATAGAATTCTTTAAGTTCTAAACCTCTACCTTGTGGTGGGGTGTTGTCTCTTTCTGCCTTGAGTGAATCATAACAAAAAATGGAGAGGATTGTATTCATGAGCAATTTGCCACTCTTTGTGGTGGGGTTTTTTGATACTTATTTTCTCAAAATTTGATCTATATGTGACAAGCTTAATTAGTGGTAAAAACAACAAGGATACAAATACTGACTATTTTATATCTATGGAGAATTGAGGTAAGTGAGGGCAGGATGGCATAGTGGAATAGAAAGAGCCAGTCTCAGTCATAAAGACCCAGTTCAAAATGCTGCCTTTGATACATACTGACTTTGTGACCCTAGGCACTTTTCACTGCTGCAGGAAACTCTGTAAGACTGTGAATTGCAAAGGGGGAGAAAAATTTTAAACTCAAAAGCGTATGGAAGTGATTGTTGATAAATCAAAATAAATTAATTAAAAAAAAAAGACTGTGAATTGCAGAGGGAGTTTCCTTATCTCAGTGAAATCACAAATCTAGTCCTATCCCAATCACTGAAGTGATAGACTCAGAATTTAGCTTACCAAATTCTTAGTAGTAGATATCTTCCTGACTTTGCTGCTGTACTGGAAATATGTTATTTTTCTTGGAAATATTAATTGTCTTATCTCTTATTTTGTGAATTTTAGCTGGGAGGAACGGAGAACTGCTTCTGGAAGGATACAGTACTTAAATCATATTACACGAACTACTCAGTGGGAACGGCCAACTCGGTAATTAAGTATTTTGGAAATACGTGTTAGTCTCTAAGGCTTGTTTCCCCTCCACCCATTTACATTTATCAGTCAGCTTTTACATTTTACATTTTACATGTTAACTTATTAAACTTCCTTTCCTAGGAGGATCTGTCATAATAAATAGTCTTACATAATAACTGAGGAAAATTGCAATCAGGAAAGTTGCAAAATAGAATGGAAGGATAAAGTCAGATTGATTTTTTAAAAACTTACAGTATTTGAAGATGAAAATTGTTCATTTGCTGACTTCTATTTAATACCATAAACGTGACCTATTTTCCTATTTTTAAAATAAATTTTTATTTGTATGTTATGACTTTTTATGTCATCAAAATTTCCCAAGTTATCCTCTTCACATTCTCCCCAGAGAACCATCCCATATCACAAATAATATTTTTAAAGGAAAAAACTAACAACTGAAAAGAAGATTTAAAAATCCCCAGCAAAACAGATTAATACATAGAAAAAAGTCTGAAAATACATATGATATACCACACCTGTGGACCTCCCACCTTTGCAAAAAGAGGTGTCATATTTCTTTTTTTGAGACATACTTGTTTGTTATAGTTTTGTAATATTAACTTTTATGGTTTTTCTTTCCATTTCCATTGTTATTGTCATTGTATATATTGTTTTCTTGGCTCTGTTTACTCAACATCAGGTCATGTAAATCTTTTTGTGCTTTTCTATGTTCATTAATATTTGTCATTTATTACAGCACAGTAATGTTCCATTATTCTTATATACCGTAATTTGTATAGCCTTTCTTCAAATGATAGCTATCTCCTTGGTTTGCAGTTCTTTGCTACTGCAGAAAAGTGTTATTATAAATATTTTGGTGTACATAGGGACTTTATTCTTATCAGTAACCTCCTGGGCTTCATAGCGTAATCTCTGAGTCAAAAGATATAGTTACTTTAGTCACTTTATTTGTAAAATTTCAAATTACTTAGTTATACTCAGGTCCACCAACAGTATTTTTTGTATACTTTCTTCCCTCAACCCCTCTAACATTGACTGCTCTCTTCTTTTGTCCTTTTTGCCAATTTTCTGAGTGTGAAGTAAAATCTCAGGCTCACTTTGATTTTCATTTCTTGAATTATTAGTAATTTGGAACGTGAATTTACTTGGTTTTTAATAGTTTGCAATTCTTCTTTTGGGCACTGTTTGTTTATATCCTTTGCCCACTTTATTGGTGAATGTTTTTGGCCTTATATTCTGTGTGGGAGGGGTTTGTGTGTGTGTGTATGGGTGTGTGTAGCTGGGTGGAAAGATAGGGATGTTCATCTATAGAGAACCGTAACTGTCCTATCTGTTTGTCTATCTATCTATCTAACTATCCTCTTTTACATGTATTTGCTATCTTTAGGTTTCAAGTTTAATTTTTTTAAAAAGAATACTAATTATTATAGTTGGTATCAATCATTTTTACTTGCTAAATAGTGTCCAATTGTTACTACAGTAAAATTTTAGCTAAAGATTCTTATAGGAATTTATTTTTTTCTTTCTTTCATTCCTTTTTTTTTTTTGGATACCCAAGACAAGTAACTTTTCACTCTCATCATTTTTTAACAGACCAGCATGTGAATATTCCAGCCCTGGCAGGCCTCTTAGCTGCTTTGTGGATGAGAACACTCCAATCACTGGAACAAACAGTGCAGCGTGTGGACAGTCATCAGACCCTCGACTGGCGGAGAGGAAAGTCAGGTCACAAAGACACAGAAACTACATGAGCAGGACACATTTACACACTCCTCCTGACCTGCCTGAAGGCTATGGTAGGAACTTTTGCAGCTTGAGGGATGGGAGGGTCTGAAAGAAGAAAGGAGGTGTATGGGTTAGTAATTTTTAGAAGACCATTAATCAGAGTGGAAGTAGTTTTGCTTAAAAATTCAGATAATTGTGATATCACCTAATTTTAAATTTTACATTGGTAAAACTAGATGGCAGCTTTAGTGTAGTTATATTGGCCTAAAAAGAATATTTCCACACAAATAGTAAAATTTTCTTTTCTCTCTTTTTTTTTTTTTCCATTTTATTATTTTGGATATGTTGCACTACTTATTTCACTGTCACTTTGTTATCTTGGTAATCACAAGTAGTCTGTCATCTTTTTTCCTCTGGAGAAAAATTGCTGGATTACAGCCACTTGTTGAAATAAACAGATAAGCTTACTTAAATAACATCTTTTGGAAGATAATTCCCTTTTTTCTTTTCTCAATTTTTTTCTTTTCCTTTTTATACATTTATTTATTTTTAGTTTTCAGCATTCCCTTCCATAAGATTTTTTTTTGCCCACCCCCCCCTTTTTTTTGGTGAGGCAATCAGGGTTAAGTGACTTGCTTCAGGGTCACACAGTAAGTGTCATGTGTTTGAGGCCAGATTTGAACTCAAGTCCTCCTGACTCCAAGGCCAGAGCTTTATCCACTGAGCCACCTACCTGCCCCTCCATAAGATTTTGAGTCCCAAATTTTCTCCCCATCTTTCTCTTCCCCGTACCCCAAAAGAGTGTATAAATTGATATAGGCGCAACAAATACATTCATATTAAACCTATTTTCACATTAGTCATGTTGTAAAGAAGAATTAGAACCAGTGGGGGAAACCACATCTTTTCTCAATTTTTAATAAAGATTTTTACTTGATAGAATATCAGAGAATGCTGTTATTATATAATTGAAAATTATGATCATTAGCATTGAAGCAATTTGAGTTACTTTTATATTTTAACTTTTTCTGAAATATGTAATTTTAGGAGTAGTTTCTTATGGACATTTCTGATTAAAATATTTACTAGCTAATAGTCATCCATTGTCTTTTTTTAAGTTCAAGCATATTTTCCAAAGTTTAACATACATTGGGGAAGTGCTGTTTCTTTAATCTTGATGTTGAAATTCTAGTATTTTGTAACAATTTGCTAACAAGATCAGAAGACCCTCAAGCAAAAACCAATTTATCAATAATCAGATTGTTTCTTTTATTAAAAAAAAATTGTCTAATCTATTATTGTTAATGTAAGACAAACATTCTTTAACTTTTTGGTCTGGCAAAAGATGGATTAACTTTGACAATTAATTTTTGTTATGATCCATAACTGCCTAATTAATGAATTTTTTTGGTATAAATGAGTTAATATTCTATGTAATAGTACTTGCTGATTTCTTTGACTAGTAGGTTGTGAACACTAATCTATTATATAAAATGTTTTTAGTTATTTGTGATTTTAGTTATTTGGTTAAAGTTATGATCAATTTTTTCCATATAACTTTATCTTTTTTTTTTGGAAGCTAGAAAATTTCCAGGTAATCTGGCATAGAATTTATCTTCTCCTTTTTTTCTTTTTGACTTCTTAAGAAACAAATTTTATCAAATCTGGTAGGTTTTAAGAATGAAATTTTACATGTTCAGGCATGTTTTTGCTTTCTTCAACTTTTAATGCCCATATTTTCCCCTTTTTCCTTCATACTTTGAAGTTTAGTGATATAATGTTTAATGACTCATACTCCATTAATATAATGATTCATAATTTATCTTAATAGACTTAAAACTCTTCTAATTTGATTTTGGGTTAAGTCATAACTGAAACTAAAGTTTTTTAGCAGTAAGTTTGTATTTAAAATAAAGTGTTTTTTGTATTAATCTCACAATTTCCAAGAAAAATACTTCATGTATAACAAAAATAATAGATACAATGGAAAAATTATTGCCCATATTACAAACATTAATCTTAGCAACTGTATGTCTTAATTAGGAAACTTAGTATTGTGTGTATTAAATCCCTCACTTTTGTGAATGAGAAGTACAGCAGTATGAAGACATCTACATAGTGGGGTTAAAAATTTAGATTTAGATTCAGAAAAAAGTGTTTTAAGAAGAAATAATTACCTTCTTTACACAGAGGTGAATGGAGAGTAAGGAAGGAATAAGATGAAGATACTATAGTTAATATATTTTCTTTAAATATTCAGCAAATGTTTATGAAGCACCAGATGGTAAGTCGCTCTACGGACTAGATCTGTTATTTCGCTGGTAGAGAATTTCCTAATAAGGAGGCGCAGTTTGGCATCTTCTCTACAACTTGAAGTTTCATAGGGTTGCCTAGAGCTCTCAGTGAGAGGTTAAGTGACATTTCCATGATCACACAGCCTCTGTGAATTAGAAGTGGGACTTCAACCCAGTCGTCCTGGCCCTAAAGTCAGTTGTATGCATTTTTTGGCTGTATTTTGCTATATTTGCTATATTTTTGGTGCTTTGAATACATATAAAAATGAAAACAGTCCCTGCCTTTTCAGGAGTTTGCATTGTGGGATGGGGTTGTGTGTGTGTGTGTGTGTGTGTGTGTGTAGCATGTAAGTAAATGCCAGTTCAGAAATCTATACAAAGTAATGATGAGGAGAAAGTCAATGCTAACTGTAGGTATCAGGAAAGGTGTTATATAACAGGTTCATAGGATCATAGGGGGCCATGTCTAGGTATCTTGATCTATATCTTGCTGTTGGACCCAGATGGCTCCAGAGGAGAAAGTGAGGCTGGTGACTTTGCACAGAGCTCTCTGACCTAACTCCAAATCACTTGCAAGTCATGGAATCACCTTCCTGATGTCTTGGTCCTCTTCAAGAACAAAGGACATACAACAATAATAACAACAACAACAGCGGATCATAGATTTAGAGCTGGAAGGGATCTTGGTATCCTTAAAGTACAACATTGATTTTATAGATGAGCACTTCAACGACTTACCCAGGATAACACAGCTAGTGTGTATCTGACTGAATTTGAACCCACATTTTCCTGATCTTTCTGACTCTTAAGTCCAGTGCTCTAGAACATCATAGACATCCATACTTAGAATTATAAAAAAAACACTTTTCTTCCCAAAAAACAAATGTAAATGGTTTATTTATCTGTAATTTTGGACTACTTGTGCTATTATTTTTTTAAGGATAATTTCTAATATGTATATTAATCAAACACAATTCCTTCAAAAATGTAATTTGTTTTCTAATCATTAAGTGAAGTTACCCTTCAAGTGATAAAGATCCAGCCTAGGAACACCTAATCATGAATCTTTTAGCATAAACTGGCCTTCTTCTCACCCACTTGAAAAGGTACACATTTTATACTCTTCTGTAGACTTCAAGCAAGTTCTACTAGGTCAGGGATGCCATCTGGTGGTTAATATTAGAAACTGTTCCACCTATTGTCTTGTTTCCCTACTTTTTGCTAAGGATGGTGCTCAGGCCATGTTGCCTTATTTTGCCTTCCTTTCCTTTAACTTTCAGAAGTTCCACCTTAAGAGGTTTTTCCACATATATGCAGACATTGTTTTTTATCTCTCTTTTTGGTTCTCTTCTCTCTTCTAATTCTTGTCCAGTTACCTCAGTAAAATCTTTCTCTCACCCTGTTCTTCCTGCATTCTGTGAGCCAAAACCAACTCTTATTATTCTCAAGTACTGATAGTAATACACCTCTGTTAAATGAAAGGAAAGACATGAGTTGCTTAGTAAAATATAAACTTAAAACATCAATACTATGTGCCTCTAAAAACTTTAAAATGCTCCAATACTTTTCTTATCTCTTTTCTTAAAGCACTAGTAACCAAGCAAAAGTACTTAGTAAAATTTTAGAGATTTTTTGTTTTCTTTAATTAATAGTATTTTGTAAATATTCATTGCAAAATTAATAGCATTTGATTAATAGTATTTTACAAATATTCATTGCAAAAGTGCTGTATTTATGTCTTTTATAGGATTTTCAAGGGTTAGCTTGGGAATTTAAGCACGTTTATAATGTTTTATATAGAAGAATGTGTTCTGAATTCTAAACATCAGATTTCCAAATAAGTTTTTATAGCATAAACTGTTGTTATTTGGAGACCTGTATTTGTTTAATAGCCTATTAGTACCTTTTTAATCTTTGCCTTATGGTTTTGTGTTTGATTGTTGATATTTCTTGATTTATAGAGCAGAGAACAACACAGCAAGGTCAAGTCTATTTTCTACATACTCAGACTGGAGTGAGCACGTGGCATGATCCAAGAGTACCCAGGTCAGAAAATAATTGAAATATTTGTTATTCTATCTTACTTAAGTTTAATCTGTAGTCTTTTACTTGTTAAAAATGTTTTAGTGGTACTTTTTTTTTCAGTGTTATATCCAAATTACTTTATATTATTTTCATCTCTACCCTTCCCTACCTATCAAAGTGTCCCTTGTAGCAAAGAATTAAAAAAACAGAAAAACAGCAGTTTAGCAAAACCAACTATCTTTCCATTTCGTTTTTTCCTCCTACTATGTTATGTGTCGTCACTGTGCTTATTTTTTTTTTGTCTTGAATATTTCCCTCAGCGTCAGTTCGTGTAAGTTCCCATTCATCTCAGAATGCTTTATGTTACTCTTTTCTTATTATATGATAATATTCAGTTATATTTATTAAAGACAGTTTGTTTAACCATTCCCCAATTCAGGGACATTTACCTTGTCCCCAGTTCTTGGCCACTATAAAAATTGCTATTTTGAATATTGTTTTATATGTGAAAGTTTTTTTTCATTTGTAAATTTTTTTATTCTTATTTTTTATTTTTTTAAATTAATCTATTTTGATTTATCAACAATCACTTCCATATGCTTTTGAGTTTAAAATTTTTCTCCCCCTTCTTCCCCACCACCTTCCCCAAGACGGTGCACAATCTTATATAAGCTATACATATACATTCCTATTAAACATATTTTCAAATTAGAACCAACAAGAGGAACCACCAGAAAGAGGAAACAAAACTCAACAGAAGAGAAAAAAAAAACTAGCTTGAATTTTTTTTTTAAGGCAATTGGAGTTAAGTGACTTTCCCGGGGCACACATCTAGTAAGTGCCAAGTGTTTGGTCTGAGGCCAGATTTGAACTCAGGTCCTCCTGATTTCAGGGCCGGTGCTCTATCCACTGTGCCACCTAGCTGCCCCCTTCATTTGTGAATTTTATGAATGGGAGGTGAATCCTTGAAATTGTTTGTATTTGCATTCATATTATTACTTAGGATTTGGGAAAATATTTGTCAATAGATTGTAATTCTTCTTTTGAGAACTGTTCATATGATTTGACCACTTATACATTGGAATGGCTCTTGGGCTTACATATTTGTGTTAAGTCCCCAAAATGAAATAGTGCATATTTTTAGAGAAAACAAAGCCCTGTTATTAAGGTGGAGTTTTGTGTGATTCTGCTATCTTGTGTATATTCAGCCTACCAACACCAATTTATAATATTGGAGTCTTTAAGTTTGAAGAGATATTTAGAGATAATTTGTCAGTGCTTTAAATATTGAGAGACAAGAAAGAATTCTATTTCTCCTTTCTGAAAGTTCAGAATAAGTAAAAAAATAAAGAATGATGAGAAAAAGATGAAATAAAATTGAAACAAATAATTTAATTCATAACTATTTAAACTAGTATTTCATGATGAAATATGGGAAGTGAACAACAGACATTGACCCTGATTTTAATATTTTTATACAGAGGTTTAACTAATGTAAGTCAGTTGCTTACAATAAGAGGACCAAAAAAAGCCATAAAGGTACCTGAGTCAACAAACTTTTGACCTATTCATGAAGCAAAGAGATGTTGGCTAGAAGTAACGCCAGTTTAGAATATAAACTTGTTTGTTTATCCAGCAGGTAAATTCATGTTCAGAATCTCGAAGTATGAAAATGGAAAGTGAATAACAAACAGAAGAAAAGTGGAAAAGCGCTATACAAAGATTATTAAAATTATTATAAGCTTTTCATTATCAAGAACAGTCATGCTATCTCATTTTTACTTGGAATATCACAGGCTCCCATGTGCTTATAGGGAAAGTAGAAAGTATATTAAAAAGAACAAAGATGGGGGGAAAACATGAATTGGGCCACCTGCTGAGATGAGATTCATGGTAGACGCATCCCAATTATGAGAACGTTAAGAGATTGACATATAGGGTAGCCAAAGATGAGGAAAAGAAATTCAGACCTATGAACAAAGAGCTTACATTCTAATGGAGGAGATAGAAAAGTAAGCCACATTAAATAAACTAAATATAAAAGATTGAGTAGTCAGTGGAAGGAGAGAAAATGGAAGCAATAAGGGTGCATAGGTTTTTGGTTGAGAAAAAGGAGGAGAGATTTAAGGTAGCTTGATAAGATAGCTTGAGGTAATTGTAGGATCTAAGTATTGGGGAGACTTGTGTATGTTTGAAGGTAGTAAGGAGAAGATGAAGATTATAGAGAAAGAAGAAATAATTGAGGTTGCTTTCTGCTGGAGAAGATGGGAGAAGATGAGATCAAAGGCACATGTTGACAGCTTAGAGTTGGCAAGAAGGGCCACTTCATTGTCAGAGACTGGAAGAAAGGAAGAGAAAATGGAGGATGATGGAAAGGGTTTTAAAATGAAGAAAAGGGGAGAAGAGGGACCACTTGTTGAATAACCGCAGTTTTCTCAGTAAAATAAGAGGTGGTGTCCTCAGCAAAGAGAAGTGATGTAGAAATAGGTTTGGTATATCTGAGGAGAAAAGTCTTGGAGTAGCTTCTATGTGGAATAGGATAGTGAATCAGAAAGAAAAGGGCCCAGAAAGTTCGATAATGTGTTAAATTTAAGATATTGCCTGTGCATCCAGTTTGAAATATCTAATAGGTAATTGATAATGTAGACTGAAACTCAAAGGTAAGCTGTGTGGTGAGCCATCTTCCTAGAGATGATAAACACATGGGAGTTGATGAGGTCACCAAGAAAAAAAAAGTTTATTGGGAGAACAGTAGAGGGCCTAGTACAGAGCCTTGGGGAACACCCACAGGTTATCATCTGGATGACGAACCAGAAACAGACATGAGAAAGAACAGTTAGATATCAGGAGAATCAGTTAGAATCAGGAGAAAGCAGTGTCATGAAGTTCCAGAGGTAAAATACTATCTAGAAGGGAGAGGGTAACCAATAATATTAGATGTAGCAGAAAGGTATTAATCAAAGCCCTTTAAAATTTACATGTTTCCACAAGTAATTATTTTTTACTGGTTTCTGCTTTAAAACCTTAATTTGAGAAGTGAGCTAGTAGAGAAAGATAAAAGGGAAAAAAAAGTAGAATATACCCTTTAAAAGTATGGAATAGAAAGTTAATATATTTTCTAATCGCGTCTTATTTTTTATTATTTTGCCAATTTTGGCTTTTACAAAAAGCTATCTAGGATTTCTGAATTAATACTATTATGAAAAATAACTTTAAATTTAAATTACGTATTTCTGATTAAGATGGTGATAGAGAAGCCAACTCTTCCGAATAAACTCTAGAAAATATGAGAAAAGGGGGCCTAAAAGACCAGTGATAAAGAGAAAAAAAAACAATCAAAAGCAGATATAATCTCCTCTGTCCAGTTCAGAATTGCAAAAAGACTGCCAGAAGCTGGTAAAGGCTGGTAATAGGGTTCTGTCAATACTCAAGGAAATGCAGAAGCTGATAGAGGTAGTTCCACCAGGGAAGCCAAGAATATAAAGAAGGGAGTTGTAAAGTAGTGTGAGCTTCAGTTTTCAGGGCCAGACTCTGTCCTTGTACTGTAACCACAAAACCAGAACCAAGGGGGCAAGGCCTAGCCTTGTACTTCTCAGGGCCCTGGGAGACAACAGGGGACAGAGTCAACCCTGCACTTATGTGCCAAAGAAGGAGGTTTGAGACTAGTGTGATCTTCAATATCAGCATTCCTTGGTGGACTTTTATGGTCACAGTAGGGAATGGAAACATCTCCCATTTGGAGATCATACAAGAAAAAGTCAGAATCCTCATGGAATCACTTGGAGACTGAGATGGTAGTCAGAAAATGAAGTCTAATATCAACTGCCTCAGCTGTAGCCATGTTTTGAAGGGCTTTAAATATGAGAGGAGTTTTGATTTGATCCTAGAGGTAATAAGCAATCATTGGAGATAATTCTTGATCAGGGGATTGATATTTTCAGATCTGTGATTTAGGAACACTAACTTGTCACATTATTTTTTTTTAATAGTTTATTTTTAGTTTTCAACATTCACTTCCATAAGATTTTGAGTTTTAAATTTTCTTCCTCTCTCTCCCTACCTCCTTCCCCAAGACGGCATGCAATCTGGTATAGGCTCTACATATACATTCCTATTAAACATATTTTCACATTAGTCATGTTGTAAAGAAGAATTAGAACCAATAGTAGGAACCACAAGAAAGAAAAAACAAAATAGAAGGGAAAAAAAAAAGAGCAAGTAGTATAGTCAATCTGCATTCAAACTCCATAGGTCTTTCTCTGGATGTGGATAATATTTTCCATCATTTTGGAGATGTCTTAGATCCATGCATGGCTGAGAAGAGCTAAGTCTATCACACAGTCATCACATAGTGTGGCTGTTAACTGTGTATAACATTCTCCTGGTTCTGCTCACTTCATGCATCAGTTCATGCAAGTCTTTCCAAGTTTTTCTGAAGTCTGCTTGCTCATCATTTCTTACAGCTCAATAGTATTCCTTTACATTGATATACCAAAACTTGTTCAGCCATTCCCCAATTGATGGGCATCTCCTCAATTTCCAATTCTTTGCCACCACAAAAAAAGATGCTATAAATATTTTTGTACACGTGGGTCCTTTTCCCATTTGTATGTACTCTTTGGGATATAGCCCTAGAAGTGCTATTGCTGGGTCAAAGGGTATGCACATTTTTATAGCCCTTTGGGCATAGTTCCAGATTGCTCTCCAAAATGGTTGGATCAATTCACAACTCCACCAACAATGAATTAATGTTCCAATTTTCCCACGTCTTCTCCAACATTTATCATTTTCCTGTTTTGTCATGTTAGCCAACTTGATAGGTATGATGTGGTACCTCAAAGTTGTTTTGATTTGCATTTCTCTAATTAATAGTGATTTAGAGTATTTTTTTCATATGACTATAGATAGATAGCTTTAATTTCTTCATCTGAAAACTTCCTGTTCATATCCTTTGACCATTTCTCAAATGGGGAATGACTGGTATTCTTATACATTTGACTTAGTTCTGTATATATTTGAAA